GCTGGTATCGGCCCGCCAGCGTGAAAGTGTACTACCTATCCTTATCCCACTTTGTGTGATTATGAGTACTAATTGTGGTGTATGTTTGGGTGATTTAAACCTTACAATTGAGATTTCTTGCGACCTATGTCGTACTTTTATTCATACTTCATGCAGTGGTTTATCAAGAAACGAATCTCAGTTGCTAAAATCTAAAAATCGAAAATTGACTTTTCATTGTCCAACATGTGCTGATCTTAAGCAACAACTAAAAAAGTTACACGAACTAACAAGCCTTGTTGTAACTCTGCAGAAGGATCTGGAAATCCTTAGAACTGAACGTTCTTCTGCCGCCTCCACCGTTACTGCGGGACCGGCTGTGGATCAGTCATATGTTGAAAGCATTGTTCAAGAGATTTCGGACCGGGAAAAACGTAAGAGTAATCTAGTAGCATTCAACTTGCCTGAGCTTCCGGATGGTAGTAAAGTTGACCAGCAAAATGATGATGTTAGATCTATAAAAGAGATACTTAACTATTTGAAAGTCCAGACACCTAATTTTACTGTAAAGCGATTGGGTAAATTTGATCCGTCGATATTGAATCGTAAGCGCCCATTGAAAATCTCTTTTTCCTCCTCTGATGTAGTTCACAATGTTCTTAGGAACATTAAGTCATTATTAAAATGTGATAAGTTCAAAGCTGTTGTTTTAACAACAGACAAAACACCGTTGCAAAATTCTTTCTACAAATCTCTCAAAACACAGCTTGATACCCGCATTGCCGCCGGCGAGGTGAACATAAGAATTAAATATGTGAATGGGTCACCTAGAATTGTATCATCTGACAGTGACCGAAGTATCCAACGGGGAAACTAATAGAATCCAACAAGAAGACCCACACACTTCGTTTATTTTATCAGAATGTGCAAGGACTACGAACAAAAACTCACCAATTATACACAGCCACAAATTTTACCGATTTCGATATTAGTTTGCTTACCGAAACATGGCTGTCTCCGGACATCACCAACTCTGAGTTGCTGCCTACTACATTTAATGTACTTAGAAATGATCGTAATCACCGTCTCGTGGATGGAAGAGTGGGCGGTGGCGTTCTTATTGCCTGCAGTCAGCAAACCAAATTGTTCAACTGTGATATGTCCGAGACTTTAAATCTTGCCCCGCTAATTGATGTGGTTGTTGGTAAATGTGTCTATTTCTCGATCAGCATATTTATTATTACACTATACATACCTCCTGATG